CTGTGCCCTCTTCTGCTTCTCTCTTGTGCCGAACCGACAGGATTCTTCAGGGACGCGGCGCTCCCACCCCGACGTGCAGAGGCTGTGTCAGTCCTTCCGTTAGTGTCACCCTAGCCGTTAATGGGCGGTGCTGCTTCCAGTGTAGCCGGCCACCTCTGGGGGGTGGGGGTGGGAGCTGGCAAAGTCCGGATCCTAAACTTGGGGCGTTGAAGGGGAGAGATGAGAGTGGACATGTGGGATGGCCATCAGTGGGCTTCCCTGGGTGCATCAGCGTGACCGCCTTCGCTGTCCCTGCCGGCCTCTCCCGTTTCCTCCGCTCACATCTTTTTGTATTACTGCACTAGAAGGGGGTGGGTGGGGGTGGGGCGGGGATCCTGGTGGGCAGGGTGGTTGCACAAACATTTTCTGAATTTCTGAGCTGAGGCCAAGTATACAGCACCTCCTGCTCGGCACCCTCCCCACCCCTTCCCCCTTTTACTCAACTCCCCAAACCCTTCACCCACTCTTGGTTTTCAGATGCACAATGGGCAGGTCAGACAAGAAGAGCTAGTGAAAAGGTCAGAGGGCCTTAACTCTTAAAAATAGTTTAGAATCCAGAAAAGGCGAGCGCCTGTTTTCAAGGTCAGAGTGGGGGACAAGGAATTTAGCAGAGACAATTTAAACATGTGCTGGGGGAGGAGGGAAGAGAGCAATCTGGAATACCAGTATCGCCCTGGAGGTTCCAAGCTTTTAAATCATAGGAAAGTTGGGGAAACTGAGCATTAAATGACTTCTTTTGTAAGGTTGACTGGCCCTGCGCTTACCCGTGACAAAAAGGCCTTGTCTTCAGAAGCTTCAGTGTGAGAGAAACCATCTACTATATGGGCCTCGTGTTTATATAGAGGTAAAGGAGGGAGCTGGAGGACTGCGAAACTGTGCAGAATAATTCTGCCTCCAGGAAAGTAATCTCGAAACCGATTTGATTAGTTCCTATCAAATATACAACTCAAAAACAGGGCAGTGCTTTCATTCCACTTCCGTTTTTTTAAAGTCTCTGCACCACCTAGTCATTTGCAGTGGTGTGATATTCCTGCGGTATTCTCCAGTTCAGTCTGCTGTGTCATTAGGACAAATGACTTAGTATTTCAAAGCTGGGAGAACCACAGGTTTCAAAACTGCCTCTTGAAATTGAGGCTTCACTGAGTCAATTCACTAAATCCTCGTTGACAATCCGGAGAGGTCGATTTGAAATCAAATCAGTTACATTGCGTTTTCGTTGAATGCATGAGAACTCTTCCGTATACATCTTAGCTACAACTGTCAGAAGTTCAGGAGGAAAGGTTTCCCTCTCCCTGTATCTGCGGGGGCCTTCAGGGTAACGTTCAGGTACACCAGGGATGTGCACAGGCTGTCACTCTCTACCACGTGTGCACTGTTCTAGGCCTTCCTTCCAAAGCTCCAAAGGTTTCTTAGAGGTGCTTGCCAACCCCTAGATGCCAGGCCGAGCCGGAAGCCTAGAGTTCTGTGAAGATACCTCAAAGGCCTTGGCACTGCTCGTTCTCCTACTCTGTATTTTGGGCTTCTGCATATGTTTCATTTAGGAAAAGCTAGGGGATGGAACCAGCAGTTGGCATAATGGCTACGTCGCTAGACTCCCGTGTAGTCCACCGCAGTTCGAGTCCCAGACTCAGTGGCTTAAACTTAGACCAGGTGCGTGTGCGTGCGTCCCCAAGATCCCAAGAGGAGAACAGAGGAGAAGGAATTGCAGCGTGGCCATCCCCCCTGGGGGGTGATTTCTGGCTTTGTCTCTCCGTCTTTCAGGCGAGCACACGTGCCCTATAGTAAAAACCACTCAAAAGGAAAAAAAAGAAAAAGCGAGGTGACTACTGCTTCAAGAAAAAATGAAAAACTACTGCCCAGTTACTTCTCTCCCTGAGGAGATGAGGAAATCCTAGAGGTAAATGGACTGGCCTAAGGCCATGCAGTTAACTGTGGAGGATGCAGAAGGCGCTGGCCTCTCAGGGTCCTCTCCCTACCATGTGTAAGCCAGCATTCTCTTCTAATGCTTTTCCCCCAAAATGGAAAGCAGGTGGCCTTGCCACCCAACCAGTAAACTTTCAAGACTGAACATACCTGAACAGAGTTCAACTTTGAAATCAAAAGCAATCAACCCACGTAATGATCATACACCGTGAGTGTGCTTTGTGAAATGTAGGCACCCATAATAAGCAGTTTATATGTGGGGTCTTCAGAAAGTTCACGGAAAGTGGATAGTAGGAAAAAACGATGCCTGTGTTTCTTTTTTTCCCCCCTAGAATTATTTTATTGAACTTTATTTTTTATTTATGTATTTATTTGTTTTTAATTTGACCATAGAGAGAGAGAGAGCAAGAGAGAGAGAGAGAAAGTGAGAAAGCAAGCTGCCAGGTCTGGGACTCGAACTGCAGTCACCCATGTGGGAGTCCAGCATGCTTAACCACCACGCCACCTGCTGGGTCCTATGCCTGCATTTCTAAAGATTTTTTTTTTTGCACCAAAATAAACTCATACATACTTTAATTCCATTTTCTCATGAACTAAAGGCCCCTCATATAAATGAGAGTAATTAGGATTTCTTTTTTCCCATAGCTAAAATCAGTTGGGTGGTTTTCTTATTTTTGTTAGAGAGTAGCATCAATAAACAGTCATTATTAATGGTTTCCTCTAAAATGTATCCTCCTCGTGGACTTTCTGAAAGACCTATTTTGAAAGGGTGGAGCAGGCCAGAATGCTGACGGTGACAAGCTGGTGCGGTAACTAGCAGCCAGGAGGCTGTGAGAGCACCTCCCAAGTCTCACAGCATGGAAATGGAACTTTGGGGATCAAGGGCAGGGCGATAGGCCTGGGTAGAAACAGCGAAAATGGATTCAAGTCTGAGAGCCAAAGGGCAGAAGGGAAGAAGAGAGATGTGGAATGCTAACAGAGAGCCCCTGGGTTTGAATGGGAAGGAAATCTTTACGTTGGAATCACCCAAAGCTAGTGACAATTCTCTGTGCTCTGGGCATCTGAAGAAGGGGAAGCTACATGCCTGGGTGGGAATTCTGGGCAGAGGCTGAGCATGAAGGACGAATGTCATCTACTTCTGAGACTTGCTGAGGCCCAGTGCTGCTACCTTCAGGTGGACAAATCTGATGGAGCAGGGTGTGTGGGCGATATACAGGCATTCAGCTCTGAGTGGATGTTACTGAGGTTGGCTTTCACCCTTTACCATCGGGAAGCTGCTGAAAAACGAAGCCCTTTCCCTTAGAAACACATGCACACACACACGGTGAATAAAGTTTCTGGAGGCATCACTGAGATGCCAGTCTCAGACCTTGTGCTGATCGTCGCCAGCTGTACGCAGGCCTGATGTGAAAGGACAGCTCCCCTCCTTCTTTGACCACTTTTCTGTAGCTCACTAAGAGCACCCAGGAATGGCAGACTTGGCCAGAAGCTTTCTTCACTTTCCCTCCAACAGTGACTGCTGCCCCTGACCCCCAGCTCTCCCCTGGGAACCAGCTCATTTTCTCTTCCTGTCTCAAGTAGAGGGAGAAGATCTTCCCTTCCCTACTGCTAATGTCTGGCAAATTGTATAGTTTTCTTTTTCTCCTTTTTAACCACTGAATACAAAGGTCCTTGCCCGTGGCTGTGTAATAAAAAGACAGCATCATGTTGTCACCTGTGATTGGAACCCTATGGGATCAGAGTGCATCAGTGGTCATTTCCTATCTCTCTCCTCTTAGAGTTCTGCATCTTCTTTTTTCTTTCTTTCTTGGAGAGTTTTTTTTGTGTGCGCTCACTAGAAAGACAGAGTGAGATAGACAGAAAGCAAGAAATCACCCCCCGGGGGGATGGCTAGGCCGCAATCTCTTCTCCACCATTCTCCTCTCGGGATCTTGGACACACATGCCTGGCATGAGTTTAAGCCTCCGGGTTCGGGACTTGAACTGTGGTCGACTACGTGGGAGTCCAGCATTGTAGCCAGTATGCCAACTGCTGGTCCCAATTTTTGGATCTTCTAATAGAGCTTAAAGGTGCTGGGGCTGGAAGTCAAGGCCTGACAGTAAGAGAATATTATTAGGAAAACTACCTTCTTTCTCCATGTTGGACCCTCCTTAAAGGCTGATGACTTCCCCACCTTTCTGAGCAGGGAAAAACGTGGCTCCAGAGGCTCTCTGTGATGGCCATACTTTAGAATCATCCAGAGAACTAAAAAAACAAACAAGATGAATTAATGCCCAGGTCCTCTCTCAGACCAAGTAGATCGGAATCTTTCCTAGCTTATTTTAATATATTGGAGGCAAGGTTGGGAACTACTGCCTGCAGTGCATGGACTTACAGATCATTTTCTCCTGGACAAGCATTCAGCCATTGCACCCTCTGAGCGTTTGATAAGAACTGTGAAGTGGTTTTTTTTTTTTTTTTTTTGAGAGGTTTTTGCTATAGGGCGCGTGTGCTCGCCAGACAGACAGAGAGAGACAGAGAGACAGAAAACGAGAAATCACCCCCCAGGGGGGATAGCCACGCCACAATTGCTTCTCCTCCATTCTCCTCTCAGGATCTTGGGCACACACGCACATGCACCCGGAGTGAGTTTTAAGCCACTGGGTCCGGGACGTGAACCGCGGTCGACTACGTGGGAGTCCAGCGACATAGCCATTATGCTAACTGCTGATTCCCAGAACTGTGAAGTTTTTACTCTTGAAATTTTTTTTGTAATTCTTACCAGACTGAAAAAAAATGTATATTAATATATGTCTCTCCCCCCCACACGCACACACGTGCACGCTCATTCATAGGTATATATTTGTTTTCAGGGGTGACAGAAAGTTTAAATAAATAAATGCTCATTACAATGTAATGCTAAA